TTGCTACTCGGCACGCATTTGTGCAAACTTACTTCATCGACTACTTTATCTGTACACGCAAAATTATCGATCGATAAAACTCGTCCTTTCCTTCTGTTTCTCTCTTTTTTTCTCTCTTTCGTCGCATTATTTATGAGCTGCGTGTGTAAAGTAAACGAATTCGTTAACAAATCGATCCTGTTTGAAACGCTGCGTTGAAATATCGATGGTTGAATTAGCGGCAATTATAAAAGGTGCGATTCCCGATATGCTCGGCTGATTTCAAGCTGCACCGAAGAAATTTATAACGTGAATCACATATTGTGCACTTCGCTTACACTTAAATGTGTAGAGACAGGTTTATAGATAAAGGAAATAACCATTGTATAATTATGACGTTATAGAAAAATATTTCCCCTATCTCTTGCGTGTGTATCATGCGAAATTGCATTCAAATTGATAGTTCAATTAAATTTTATGATTAATTCGTATGACACTACTTACGACTTTTGAATAAGAATGCTGCACTTATGAGCAATGCAATTGATTTATGACGGATTTGTAGAGAGATGCATTCGTGCGCGCGCAATTAAATGAGAAAAATACCCCGATATCGTTATCCGTCGACCATGACAGTTGCTGCAAACACATGCATGCATACGAGCCGACTTACTATATTTATGAATCAGTGTACGTAATACAGAAAAGTGCATTAACGCATTATACATCGTCCGATTCGAAATAACTCGTATTTATGTTAGGATTAATCACGATCGCGACGATGGGAAATCGTCAAAGTTTTACGTCCACGCTAGAGCGTTCAAGTTCGTGCTGGATATCGCATTATGTGAAAAGCACAAACTGACCAACTCATCCCATTCATGCTATAGCTCTTAACGGCGAAAACCTCGTGTGCACGCGTATAACGGCCGGAATATATGGTGGGCAGCTGACTTTTCGATTGTCGCCCGAGCGCATGATGCACACGTACGCTAAAACACTTGAACATACATATGCTGCACACAGAAAAGTATCCGAGCGACGACACCACGATGGTATAATAAGTGTCGTTTCTCAGGACTGAATATATAATTTACAGTTACACGCGAGCAGAGAGCACAATGGCCGTTTGTTTTGTCATTTTCGGAGAGGAGAGAGAGAGAGAGAGAGAGAAAGAGAGAGAATGTGACAGTGCAACTCGCTGTTTTAATTTTAATAAAAGTCATTAAATATTCGTTACGAGTACTTGCCTACGTATGCTATGCGATATATTGTATATGTACAGCGTACGACGGAATTGAAACACATGCATACTGTTATACTCGCGCGAGATAATGGATAAAAAGTTTTTTTATCCTGCCGTTCGGCATTCGCGAGCTTACTATTACGATCGCTCCCACAGCGAATTTATAGAGCTCCGCGCGGAGCTCGTACGTCGATCGATGCAAGTCGCCGAAGAGATACAAGTCATAGATTGCAGCATAGGAGAGATGCCATGTCGATCGTTCGCCGCTCTTACTATTCTTTATCTCTCTTGGGAGATAGTAAACAAGCTCTCGATGAGAGGAACAAAACAAATTTGAGACGGACAAAGGTCGATGGACTGTCACGTCTTGTAAGCTTTGTGCGAACTTCAAATCGAACATGCAAATTCGAAGAGTTTCGCAAAAATAATTATGCAAAAGAAATTTTAAAATGGAAGTACATTAGAGCATTAAAAAATATTTATGAATGAACGGGAAAGCACATAAACTTTTCTGTCTTTTTTAATTCGCTTTTTACGTTGAAAGAGCTCCGCGTAACACAAAACTGCCCCGAAAGCGTCAATGAATCAACCAACCCAAAGTTGGTTCTCGCGTAACGTCTTATCTGAAACGACTCTCCACAAGTCCAACGATCGCTGCGAATAGCAAACGATAGAAATTGACGCAATGAAAAAAAAGGTCGTCTCGTTTGGGCTTGTTATTAGCGCCATGCACCGATTGACTCATCACGTCGGGAGGAAGGATGCGGTCACCTTGCTAGATCCGGAAAGCGTCAGTCAACACTACGCGCGCGATGATGCTCTACTGTCGTCATTGATCCTTTTAATTCGCGCATACGCGTCTAGAGTGGCGCGCAGCTATATCATAACAACAGCAATGCACGGCTCACGAGTTATATTTTATATATATGAGATGTCGAGCTGCACGTACATAAAAAAGCGAAGCTTTCGAGCTTCGAGTGGAAACACGCGCGCACGAGTTGAGCGCACTCTCTCGAACTCGTCGATGATGGCCACAAAGATGAATGAGTCACCCGCGGTCGTTTCAGCATATCATCGATTCGCTGCTGCACACTCGATAATCGTTATTATATATATGAAGAATATTTTATATAATGGTCGATGCGCGGAGACACTTTTTTTTATCGGCCTCTCTCGCGCGCGCACTCGTCCACGCAGCAGGCATTCGAGGAGACGCGCGACACGATCGCGTACGTTTCGTGCGTATTTTAAAAATAAATTTTCAACTGCAAATAATCATAATTGAATCAAGTAAACGCGGGCGTGCATGATGTGCGGCGTGTAATTTTGCTTTCTCTCAATACGCGCGTGTCTTGACCACATCGCAGCGCAGTCACGAATGTGAATTCCTACCGAAATTTCCAACAGCCGACGTAATCAATTATCGTCTCGCCCTTCTCGTTTTTCTCGGTATACTATCTGTATGTGTGTATGTGTGCGTGGATGTATTACGTGCGTACATCATAACGACACCACAGGAGTTTATTGACGCGTATACGTATTTTGCATGACTCATGTAACTCAGCACGCGCAGCTTTATGCGAATGATGAAAGCTGCGTGGTCGACGAGAGAAAGAAAGAGAGAGAGAGAGAGATATGGGCAAGGGAGAGAGGATATGACAGCGAAAACGTAAGGGTGATGATGAAGAATAGGGATGATTTTAGCATTTGTACGGCTTCGACCACTGATCGAGGCGTAGGAGTATATATTTCATCCGTAACGAAAGGCAATCGTAACGACGTGAATCTCATTGTTTTGACACGATTTTATTCTCGATTCTCGTCGCGCGCATTCATCACGCTTATGAGGCCAAGCCCGGCGAAACATGAAAAACCGTTGTCGATGCAAAGCTGCACAGCAGCAGCAGCAACAGCAACAACATCAATGCGGCAATATACGGCAGCAGTAGTAGGTAACGACAAGCGGCAAGCGCGATCGTGCCTTTTTATAATCCCACGTACTGAACTAGGAATGAATACATTTAAATGAGCAGGAAACAGACACGCTGACAGAATTGTCTGTCAGCTTGAGTCTGTGTCTCTTACCTCTGCATGTGCTAATGTGAGATACTCGCAAATCAGAGTCACGCTTGCTTAACTATGAGAAAATTCAAACCCGCTTGTTTTGCTTTTATATATAATTTGGGGTGAAAAGGCGGCAATATCGCAATAACATTTGAGTATAAAACGATTAATATACTTGTCTATAATAATCTTAGATTTTTTCTAATAACGAAAGTAAATTCGATATAGACTTGATTTAATTCATGAAACCCTCGCAAAGTCTAGACTTGTTTCATTCTCTAACCAACGCAAGCTACATGAAAATTCCATTCAATAGATCACATGAAAATAAAAAAGAGCCGCAGCATACTCACTTTCTCATGGCGTGCATTCGCAGAGCAACAGACATCGCTCGAATGAAAATAAAAAGCAATTTAACTGCAATGCTCTCGTTACATAATTTATGCTACAGAGAATAGAATTCTTACACGTCAGAAAGTATAATAGTATTTAAAACGCTTGTATCTTTGTGATGAAAAAATAAATCTATTTTGAACTGAGAAATATAAAATTTATTTATTTATTAACATTCGTATTTATCATAACTGTTACAAAACCTGTAGTAAATAATTTACTATACAAACTCTATCTAAAGTTGCGAATTGAACTGTTCGCATCGAAGCATTGCCGCAGCGGCAAAAAAGAAAATTCAACGATTTTCTTAAGATTACTTTCAAGACCACGTACAAGTCCATGAGCAGCGCAGAGCAATCTCCCTTTAACAAACGACCCTACATGCTCACGCAATCTCCATAACATGCTATATCCCGTACTTAAAAAGGATCTTATATAAGTGTACACAGGCGCTAACAAGGGCTATCTATACACGAGGTAGGAGGAAGAAGGCTTGCAGTGCATAGAGAGTAAGGCACGTGAGCAAAAAGCCATCCGTCACTTCACCTCCGTATTTGGCTCGGCGGCGATGGTCAATTAAATACCATGCAAGTAAGGTGAGTAAGTTCACGACTGGATGAGGTGAAAAAATGAGCAATTGATTCGAGTTAACACTAAAGTTTCTTTAAGCTGGGGATTCATTAATGATTTAACGTCTTCAAAGAGTCCGTTGTAGAATAAAATTGAATATATTTAGCTAATTGATAATCGATTTATCAGCTAAAAAAGTTGCCAAGCACAAGAACAGTCAACTTGTTAAGTATTCAAAAATTCGTATTATCCAATGTGATTTTGCCATTCATTAAAATGTGCAATTAATAATGTCCAATGAAGATGAAATTGTGCATTTAGTTTCAAACATATTGTATAACGAAAAGTTAAATTAAAAATTAATTCTATAAGAAGCCATTAGCATTACAAATGATAATATTTAGCTAAGCAATTGTAAATTTTTACTATTTGAAACTTCGATCATTGAAAATGTCACTTTGATTTCACAAAATATGTATGCTTTGATACATTTTCGAACCAATTATTCAATAATTCAAAAATAAGACAATAATGAAATAATTATTTTGACAATAAAATATCTTAAACATTCAAGCTTAATCAAGATCAAGGTAGCAACGCTTATAATATTGAGGAATGAGATATAAAAAATGCGTGAGATAAGAATATCGATCCATCGCATTTATCGCAGCACGTTTTTTCATTTCGACACGTAAGTTTTAAAATAAAAGCTCGATCATACTGAAAGTCAGTGACAGTATGGTTTCGAAATAAGAGCAGGTCTGACCAACTTCTCACTGCAATAACGGAAGTATAATTGTATGAGACGGAGTATCACATAAGTAATGCGTAAAAAATGTTTGCTAAACGTCACACAATAACCTTTGTAGTAACATTACTGTATGTAACAACATTAGTTTTGGCACAGGTAATCGATATTTGTAATATGTGTAAGAATTGATGTTAAAGAAATTAATACAAAAATAATTATAGGACACCAATAATGGAATGGTGGCTGGAGACGATGAAAAAGCACCAGATACAGTAAACGATGAAACTCCAAAAACTAGTGGAAATGAACCAGCATCTAATACGTCGACATCGAATCAATCTCTTTCGTTGGGTGCAAATGTTAAATTGACCACTAATAACAATGATTCTAACAAAGAATCTCCTGAAAGAAGTGATGCTTCCAATGATCAATCTGGAAAATCAAATCAAAGTGAAATGACAAACCAACAAAGCCGTGATGGGTCACAGTCCGTTAACTCAAGTACCAGTGGTAATGAAAACGAAGAAAATTTTGAAACAAGAGCTAGTACTGCTGATCGAACACCGGATGAAGAAGAAAACCCACAAAACCCAGCACCTAGTAAAGATGAAACAGCATCTAATACGTCTACATCGAATCAATCTCTTTCGTTGGGTGCAAATGTTAAATTGACCACTAACAACAAGGATTCTAACAAAGAATCTACTGAAAGAAGTGATGCTTCTGATGATCAATCTGGAATATCAAATCAAAGTGAAATGACAAACCAACAAAGCCGTGATGGGTCTCAGTCTGTTAATTCAAGTACTGGTAATGAAAACAAAGAAAATTCTGAATCAGTATCTAGTATTGATAGAACACCAGGTGAAGAAGAAAACCCTCAAAACCCAGCACCTAGTAAAGATGAAACAGCATCTAATACGTCTACATCGAACCAATCTCTTTCGTTGGGTGCTAATGTTAAATTGACCACTAACAACAATGATTCTAACAAAGAATCTCCAGAAAAAAGTGATGCTTCTGATGATCAATCTAGGAAATCAAACCAAAGTGAAATGACAAACCAACAAAGCCGTGATGGGTCACAGTCCGTTAACTCAAGTACCAGTGGTAATGAAAACGAAGAAAATTCTGAAACAAGAGCTAGTACTGCTGATCGAACACCGGATGAAGAAGAAAACCCACAAAACCCAGCACCTAGTAAAGATGAAACAGCATCTAATACGTCTACATCGAACCAATCTCTTTCGTTGGGTGCTAATGTTAAATTGACCACTAACAACAATGATTCTAACAAAGAATCTCCAGAAAAAAGTGATGCTTCCAATGATCAATCTAGGAAATCAAACCAAAGTGAAATGACAAACCAACAAAGCCGTGATGGGTCACAGTCCGTTAACTCAAGTACCAGTGGTAATGAAAACGAAGAAAATTCTGAAACAAGAGCTAGTACTGCTGATCGAACACCGGATGAAGAAGAAAACCCACAAAACCCAGCACCTAGTAAAGATGAAACAGCATCTAATACGTCTACATCGAATCAATCTCTTTCGTTGGGTGCAAATGTTAAATTGACCACTAATAACAATGATTCTAACAAAGAATCTCCTGAAAGAAGTGATGCTTCCAATGATCAATCTGGAAAATCAAATCAAAGTGAAATGGCAAACCAACAAAGCCGTGATGGGTCACAGTCCGTTAACTCAAGTACCAGTGGTAATGAAAACGAAGAAAATTTTAAAACAGGAGCTAGTACTGATGAAAAACCAGAAGAAGGAGTAAAAGAAGAAACCTTAGAACACATTGGAAACGAACAGGTATCCAAACTCTTGCAATCAAATCCAGTGCTTACTATGGGAGGAAATATTAAAATGAATACTAGGAACAATAACTCAAGTAAAGAATCTCATGTAGTGAGCCACGAGAACCCAGATCAATCCGATAGCTCAAGTGCGAGCCAAAAAGAAACAGTTCGCAATAGACATATGTCCCAGACGGAAGTCCCTAGTACCAGTGGTAATGTAAACAATGTACACTCAGAGAATACTTCAAGGGTTTATAATCAAAAAGCGGAACTAGCAAAGAAGGATAATTCAGCACCTGGTCAAACATCAGCAGAATCGAATCCTTCACAATCAAATCCATTACTCGCCGTAGAAAGAAAATTCAAATCGAACTCTAGGGATAGTAATGAAAATAATGAGTCTCACATGACAAGCAAAACGAATCCAGTTAAATTATCTTCTTCTGAAAATTCAATTTCGAAAGAAACGGAAAAACATGTCAGTAGACATGGTTCTACAGTAGATACCTCAAATACTGCTAAAAATGTAAACAATATAAACCCCGAAATTGATGCGAGTGTTGATGAAATAACAACAGAGGAATCACAGAAAGAAGCCCAGAAATCTGATAAAGATATACAGGCATCTAATCCTTTAAACACTGAGCATTCACTTGCAGGAAAGGTAAATTTCAGAGTAGACACTGGGAATAGTAAGTCAAATGATGGGTCTGAAAACTCAAACACAAGAGAAATTGAAAATAATTGGAGAAGTCATGTAACCGAATCAGATATCATCGCTAAGAATAAAGATCAAAAAGATTCAGTTGATGACAACGCCAAATCAGTCAAAAATAGTAACACTTTCTCTACAAGCTCAAATCAAGAATCATTTGACTTGAATCAAGAACCGCATGCAAAACTCAATCCATTTATGGAATCGTTGGAATATGAAACTTTAGATTCTTATGACAAAATCAAAAACCAAGTTGATAAAAAAAATAAAGTAACAAACGGAAATAAGAATAGTAATAACCAAAATACGAAAACTTCGACTTCAACTATGACGAATCAAAAATCTTTCAAATCAGACACAGATAAAAAATTAATCGAATTTAAAATCAATACAAACTCTGGTGCGTCAAAAAGTTCAACTTCATCCAAAGGAAAACCAACCGGAAAAAGTATAAAAGATGTATTGATTTTTTTGGGATTGCTTAAATCTAATAAAAGTTCAAATTCGCAAGAAAATTCAAATGATTCAGTTAGTTCAAGAAACGAATCATCAAGAAAATCGAATGTAGTGGATAAAAAAAATAGTGGAAAATCAACTTCTGAGGAATCATCTATTTCAGAATTATTGAATTCTTTCTTTCAAAATGTAAGTTAATGAATCAAAATATTTACAGGTTAACTGATTTTTTATTACACTCTATTTTAAAAATATTAAAATTTCTATTAAAAAATATATTTCACACATATTATTTTTGGTTGATAGGTTATTTATGAAAATATTGTGAAACTTTTCAAATCCAGTTCAAATGCAAGTTCTAATAATGGCGAAGAAATCAATGCGTCAAAATTGTTGAAACTTTTAAATGTTTCCAATCCGAAAGTTGCCTTAACTCCGAAAAGTGAATAATTTTTATTATAAACTATTTTTCAGAATTAAAGTAATAAGTAGTAGATTAAAAAGTAAAAAAATTATTATACGTGTGTATTGAAATATAAAACGCAATAAAAAAAATTTTTGTAAAGGATATATAAAAATAAATTAATTGACACCCATTCGTACTTTTCAAAAAGGCTGGAATTGTTAATCATTATATGTTTCATTATCGATCAAAAATCCAAACTAAATCACATATTCGAATTTATTTCCATCATGCAGTACTTCGTGATCATTCGATCGTAACGAAGAGTGCAACAAAATGAACAGCGAGTTGAACAATCAAAGTACACCGCGCGGGACGTGATGACGACGCAGACTCGTTGAGCCGCGACAAACGGCATAATACTCCCATTGACTCTTTATAATGTCTTGGATGAAACGAAAAAAAGGTTTAGTAAAAAATATTGCAGCAAGGAGTGGCTTAAATTAAAGTTAATTGGTGTTGCTGACTACTTTTTAAACTTCTTGAGACCAACGAGGAATTGGTCCAGTGCACGTTTGATGCTCGGTTGGTCGAGAAACGCTTCGATTTTTGCACTTTAGACATGAAAAGCTCGAAAATGTTATTAACTCTTCTTGTTAACTTGACTTCAGATACTAATTAGAAAAACATATGCGGAATATAGGACGTACTCGTGAAACAACATTGACATTTTCTCAGACAATCAAAAATAGCGCACTCGCTCGTATTACGCTTTGTTTAGAAAAGATCTCGAGCGAGCCGTCGTTTGTAAATTTTTGTCATTGTAAAATTAGCATCAAAGTGCGAAGATTCGCAATTTCTCAAATAAGCCCTCACAAGACACACGGGAGAAACCGAGACGAAGCGATGGCAAACGGCGTCGAGATTTATGCTCAAATATACGACTAATATTTGCGCTCTCGTACCAGCCACACGTTGCTGCTCGCTCTTTCTCTTACTCTTTTCGTGCCTCAAAAATACAAACTCGAAAAACGTGCAAACGTAGCGTAAATACGCACGCGGCACTGCGCAAAATTTGCAGATTGCAGCGGGGATTTTTCTTTTATTTTGCGCTACGCGACGTATATACTACGCGAAGTTTATCAGCTGGCGAAATCATCACGAGTGTGCGGCGCGCGCGCGTCTCGAAGAGCTGCTGTCGGGATTTCTTTATACTCGCGACGGATATTCTCTCATATTCCTTTAGGTTCTCCCTCGGCGAACGTATATAAATGCGCGTGAGTGTACGTACGTGTGTTTGTGTGCGAAAAAGAAAGGCAAAGCAAAAATGAGCCGTACGGAGGAGTATACGAACGATTGTTATTCGAGTCGCATTTCGCCTGCAATGTAATTCGACGCGCGCAGGCTTGTTTCGTCTATACGGTCATCAGCAGCAGCAGCAGCAGCAGCAGCATGAGCGGCAACAGCAACGGCGCAGTATATATAGTACCAACGCCACGGTGCGAGCAGGCAAAAGCGCACTGCATCCATCAAGACGCTCGCGCGCGCAGAAGGTCGCTAGACGGGTGCAGTTTTAAAAGCGCGTCTGTTTGCTGCGTTTGTTTGATATGTTTATGCGTTGGACCTCAACGCAGACACGCGGAAAGGTGTGATTGAATTGCGCGTACGTGGGTGGATTGAGATGTTTGCTGCTCTGCCTCGTCGTTTTGTTCGCGTCGAGTTAATGCACGCGAGCGTTACACGCATTACGCATAGTTGAACAATTAGAAAAATTAGTCTTGCCATTTTCATAGACTTTACGCGGAACGAATAAAAAAGAACACGTCGATTATCTCGTCTAGCATTGGTGTATGCGTAAATTCTCTCGATGCAAAACCTTGACAAGGCATGCTCGCACGTATGTATACGAGCGCGTGTTCGCGCTAACTTTGGTATCTTTCCGCGAAGTCCTCCGCGCGCACGAGTCTATACCGAGATTGCAATTGCCCCCTTCTGCATTCAAAAAGGAAAAACCTCTCTTACTTTGCCTCTCTATCTCTCTTTTCCTCCTATATATGTGCATCTCTCTTTCTTATGTATACTCGCGACACGCGTGTATAGCAGAGTACACGAGCGCATGAAGTCCGCACGACGTCAGAGGTCGCATGAGCAGCAGCAGCAGTAACACAAACTCGTCTCTCTCGGAGCGGCTATATTCGTCTCGTCTACTCGCGGAAGCGTCGTCACAGAGAAAGTATGTAAAAAGACGCAAAAAGAAAAAGACAAATAAATAAAAGCTATACGTAAAAAAAATAAAATAAAAATATCGTAAGTCAGGCTCGGATATATATCGTGTACGAGTGCGAAGGAAACATGCCATATGCGGTAAAAACATACGTACATATAATCAAGAGGAAAAGAGAAGAGACCAAACAGTTATTTAATATAATATTAAATTTTGCGTTGTGTGTGTACCAGGCAGCATATATCTGTAAATTGCGCGCGTGAGGGGTTGAAGAAAATTTCGAAAAGGAATGCAATTCGACGCGGTCTGATCGATTGATTTATTAGCGCCGCGTCGCGCAGCAGCGGCAGCAGCTGGTCGTAACATATATACCAGCAGTCCGAAGAGTGAGAGGGAGCGAAAGCATTTATCGCGTTGGGATTGACCATCATGACGATGTAATTTATTGGAGCGACGATAATTACGCATCCGCGTGTAGAACTGCTGCTTTGCGCCGTATAATAAACACACGCGCACTTTTGCACACACAAAAAACAGATGATTGCAAAGGATAAAAGAGTTGCGCGATTTTGATAGAGACGCGTTCGTATAATTGGGCTACGTACGCGCACGCTTGTGCGACGCCAGGAAACAGCAGCAACGACAACAACAATAACAACTGTAACGGTGTAACGAGCTTTTCCGTGTTACATGAAAATAAGGTTCAGGCGACATATATAGAAGATGCTGTCGTATAAGTGCGCGTCGTTGCATCTAAAATAGTTCATTCAGTTATACTGCATATGATGTTTAAATATTTGGATAATTTCATTTCAGTCCTAGACCGGACTGCAGAACGCAGATAAACGCTGGTTTAGGTATACACGAGGGTTATTTTTATGCAAGCAACGTATGTACATAAAAATATTTTTCGATCGTAAATTTCTAATATGGCTCAGAAAAATCTTCATTGTTGAAGAATTCTATAACATTTGCATGTAAGAGCACCATTGAACATGGTTTATTCTTTTTCCAAGAGGAAATTTTATAAATCACAAGGCCGAGATGATATAGGTATTACGTCCAGAAAATATTTTTTCAAAAAATAAACATGGATACTTTCTCTAAAATGATGAATCGACTATGGAAGTGCAGCCGACAACATCTCGCTAAAATTACATTCCATTAACTACTTTCTAGCCGCTAAACTTCTCACTCGCTCGCGCGTATGTGCTTACACGCATATACAATCAAAAGATGTATTGCACTGAAACGGTCTAGGAAAAAAGAAAGAAGAGGAAGAAAAAAGAGTTTTCGACAGCCCTGTGGCAGTACAGTATGCAGGGCTTAGACGCGGCGTCTCGCTATACTTGGCCGAGCGCGCCGCTCAAGCTTTTATAAACAGCAGCAGTACAGTGCCATGTAAGATGTATTATAACGATGGGTGACCAGCGGCGCGCGGCACACACGAGTTCATTGACCCATTGAACCGACGATGATCGAGCTGCAGCAGCAGCAGCAGCAGCAGCAGCAGTAGCTCTGCTGCACATAGGCACACGCACACGCTACGAATGCAACGATATACTATATATCGCATACACATTTACAACAGAACACTTTATCTCGCAGTGTGGAGCGCGCGCGCGAATGTTTAGAATATTTCGCGTTGTTATTTTATACAAACAGACGGCGAGATGTAAATAAAGAGAGTTTGTGTGTGTTTGGTGAAAAAAATTGTTGAGAAAATAACCCCGGCGAGGGAGGGAGAGAGATAAAGAAAAGGAGAGTAAGTTGTTGGTGCAGTACGCCGGCCTGTGGCGTTTGTGTGTGTGCACGGCTTATCTCGCGCGCATACGAAGGAGCAAGAATTCATCTTATCTCGTTGCGAAAGATGCTAATATAACAAGCTTCGTGAGCTCTATATACATCTATTTTTTTTCTCTTTTCGCTCGCTGAAAGAGATTCAGTTACACAATTATCATTCGCGACTCTATGGAATTTTATTTTTCACTCGCTGCTTCGCGACGTCCACGTCTTCGTCGTCGTCGTCGTCATTTGAATCTATCGAGGCCACGGTAAAATCCACCTAGTCAAATTAACGGGTAAACAAAGCCGCATAAAATGAGCGGCCTATCTGCCATTTCTTATTTACACTGGCGCGCGTATGGTATATGCAAGCACTGTCCACACATCAAAGCCGCCTTAGCATGTAACTTGGGCATATGTCAGTCGTTATAGACTTGAAGAATTTCCATGATTGACGCTCACGTGTGTGCGTATATGTGTGCTTATATACGTCTGTATATATTCAAGAGGAAAGTGTTCTATATGCTCAAGCTCGAGAATGAAGCTAATTTTGGATCTTACACGCGCATACGAACGCGAATACTTGCGGGTGCATTCTTGTCGTTCGCCGGCTTCAACAGCGGCAGCAGCAGCAAGTTCTTATACTCCACGCCCAAGTTTTAACGATTCGGCCGCGAATGCTATTTGTTTATCTGCAGCCATGAATTACATACCTACTCAGGGCCAGTGCGCGCACGGAGCAGAGAGTTATAGGCTCTCTTTTCCAGCGCGCTATCGCGGCAATAGAATGTCTTCATCTGCAGATCTTTATGCTATGAAATTGCTTCATTAGTCATTTTGGGACTATTGTGTCTGACGCGCAAGGAATGCTCTCTCGGCTATACATATCACTGCGCGGTGTACATTTACTCTCTCTCGTATCGTGTACATTATGAGACCTTTGATTAATGCCTCGCAATTTTGCGAGAGCGATCTTTTTTCGATGCACCAGCGCGACGAGTTTCAGCGAGTGCACAGCCCACGAGGAGAAAATTGTAATTACTGTTATTATTCGGGCTTCGAGAGCGCTACATTTAGAATACGTATGTATAGCAGCTGTGC